TATAAAAATAACAGCTGTTTGAATAATAAATTGGGCACAAATTTTTGCAATCATCCAATATTTAAGATTTAGTAGATTTATTTTCAGTGTACATTTGAGCTTTCTATTTTTTTTTCCTTTCTTTTCTTTGAGCTAAATACTCGAATGTACATTCGTATCATGACATCCGAGATATATTAAAGATTTTTCGGAAATTATTTTTAAATACTAAATCGTCTTAAATATATCGTTCTTAAATATATAATCGTTCTTAAATATATCTTACACTTATAATCCGAGGGAAAATAACATTTCTAAAGCAATAGAGATCACGTAGTAATTAAAATTATCCCGATTTTTAAAAATTAACAAAATATTCTGTAATGATAGTTTCTACAGTTCATTTCGACATGACTTGGAGACCTTGGTGCCCCACGTGAACATAATGCGTCTCGTAATGCGTCACTGAATTTACGCGTTAAACAACAACGACGTTATTATGCTATCCCGCTTCCCGTGTAACACTCACGAGTGGTATACGTGAGAATTTGATAAGAAATTCAATATGTTTTATAGAACATACGCAGACTTTTATTTTTCGGATTTATTTCTCGCAGCAAAAATTATCTGGTTTTTCTTTATTCCTCTCCTCTTTTTTGCTAATTAAAAGGATCCCAGACTTGTCATATGACTCTCCTTGATAAGGAATGACACACGCATGATGCAACTCGCTCCGAATGTATAAACAATCCCAACTGTATTCCTTTCTATCACGCCAGCGAAACATTCAGTAATTATTTATGCATATATGATCATAAAACGTTCACATGATCAAGAATATATGTATCAAGAATGGAATAAGTTATGGAATAAGTTTCTTCTCCTCTCCCCCCCCCCTCTCTCTCTCTTTCTCAAAGAGAGAGAAAAAGAGAAAGAGAGAGAGAGAGAGATTAACTTTCAAAATTAAAGTTAATGGACTATATGTAAAATTAACATAATTACGTTAAAAATTAATAAATAAAATTATATAAAAAAGTTATATATATGAACCAAAAATTTGATTAAAAATTAAGTCAAATTAAATTGAAGTAAAT